CCTAGGCTACATACATTGTCTCAAAAAGGAAAAAAAATGTAGCAAAAGCTGGACACACACACTTGCAATTCCAGCCCGTGTGTGGTGGAACTAGGAGGCTCATCATCTATGTAGCAAATCTGAGGGCAGCCCGGGCTACCTGAGATTCCTTCTCAAAACCAAACCAAACCACATTAATCAGAGAAGCTTCTCCCCCCACCCCCAACCCCCACCCCTGGGGCAGCAGCTGATGCAAAGGCTGGTGACTGGCCAAAGGGCTAAGAACAAGGGACTGGTGGGTACCCAACCCTAAGCGGGACATCTGTATCAGCCCCTTACCCTCAAGGCCCAGGGAACAGCGCGGAAGAGAAGGTGGAAAGATTTTAAGAGCCGCTGTGAACTGCTGTCTTCTAGGTATGCGTGGCTACTGCAGTCATGACCTCACCACAGCTGTGGCGACCTGCGCAATCCGGCCATTCCAGCATGAATGCCGGCCAGGCTCAGGAAGGCTCACTTCTGGTTGAGGAATTATTGGCAGCTGCTGGCTGCTGGGGGAAGGAGAATCGTTTCTTTGGGAGTGTGACCACTGTCCGGTTACCTATGCACCAGTCTGTCACACATCCACACACACACGAGCATCACTAACTGGACACAGTGGGTTAATCAAAAAGATCATTTTTCAAAGGACATGAAGTTGTTTGGAGGTGCCAGGAGAAGTTGGAAGGTGAGAGCAGGGGTAGGTATGCGTTTTTTAAAAAGAAGTAGGTATGTATGACATTCTCAAGAAAAGTGTAAAGTAATACTAGAAATGTAGTAAAACACTATGCATACCATAAATCTTAGCACGCTTAAATGTGTGATTCAGCTGAGCAGTGGTGGTGCACACCTTTAATCCCAGCACTTGGAAGGCAGAGGCAGGCAGATCTCTATGAGTTCAAGGCCAGCCTGGGCTACAGAGTGAGTTCCTGAAAGGCACAAAGCTACACAGAGAAACCCTGTCTCAAAAAATAAAAAACAAACAAACAAAAAAAAAGTATGATTCAGTGGTGGTAAGTGCTTTTATATCATTGTGTGTCCACCACCACAGTCCATCTTCAGGGCTCTGCCATCTTCTGAGACTGAGGCCTAGAGTGGCAGGGACTCCCACTGTGGCTAACCTTTTATCTGGATGTCTTACCCATCCATGCTCCATTGCCAATAGTCTCTTGACTAAGAGATCCTGAGTTTTCCCAATTGGAGCGTGGCATTGTTCTGTTGCTGGGCTCTGGTGTAACAGTTCTGAGAGGGAGTTAGCTAACGCTAGTGTACATCTCCAGTCCACATGAGAAACTGAGGCAAAGGACCCCAGAAGTCCACTCCCAGGATAGTCAAAAATAAACAAAAGGCTCTGGACCCTGACTTCTGACAGACGTAGGGATCCAGGACAGGTGAAGGACCATGCTGGGCAGAGGACAGAACGGGTGGAGACAGGCAGGATGGAGAGATTCAGAAGCTGCTGTGCCCCGGGTGGAAAGCAGGCGTGAGAGCCCAGCTTTAGTCACATCCCGATGGAGCGGTTTCTCCCTAGAGGAGACGCTGCCATTCGTAGTTACTGCCTCCGTCCTTTTGGCTAACAGTCCACAGACCTTGGGGGCAGAGGCTGAGTGGAGCCTCCCCAAGACGGAGCCATGTGGGACATCGGCAAGGCTGGTTGCAACTTGTCCCCTGCTGAGTGGCATGACTCCTGTGTGAGTAGTGTGACCGAGTGGATTTGCTCACCGGTGTGCCTCCCGTCACCAAGCAGCCTGAGAGCATAAAAGCCAGGGCAGACAGCAGTAAGGGGGCCTGATCTGTGAGTGGGGGGCAAAGGGAAGGAGAAGAGGCACAGGGCCGCAGACATGTTCTCCCTGTTCAGTGGGTTGGCTTTCCTGGCTGGCTCCTTCCTGCTCCTGAAGCTTGCCGCCTTCTGCTGGAAAAGGAGCCACCTTCCTCCTGGCCCTTTCCCTTTGCCCCTCCTTGGGAATTTATGGCAACTAAACTTTCAGCTGCACCCAGAGACACTGTTGCAGGTATGGAGCAGGACCACAAGCATGAGGCCCTAAAGGGACGGACAGAAGAACGTCATCTTCTCAGCCTAGGGACATTGGAGGTAGAAGCAAGATTTAGGGCCAGATGTGGGGATGCGGAGATCCTGGTTTTGTCACTTGTCAGCTCTGAAGCTGTGAGCCTCAGTTTCTTCACCTGCCTAATGCAGGGGCATACAGAGGTTGTAAAATGGAGTCTAAGGACCGCAGGAAGTGGGTGGGAGAATGGGGGGGTTCCGGCAGTATAGCTGTTTATATCACAGACAATACTAGAACACACCCATTCCCAGGACTGATGGGGTATGAGCGCTGAGCCCCAACTCCAGGGAGTCTGTGCCCCTGGGCTGGTTCCTGAGGAGTGGGTAAGTGCTCTGAGGGGGTACACCGGAAGTTGAGGGTTGGGTGCAGGAAGGAAGGGATTCATGCCAAGAGGGTGATCCCAGCAAGTGAGGCCAGGAGGCTTCATGTACAACCATGGGCCGCCTGGTCTCTCCACAGCTGGCTCAGACTCACGGCAACGTGTTCACTGTGTGGCTGGGTTCCACACCCATTGTGGTGCTCAGCGGCTTCCAGGCCGTGAAGGAGGCACTGGTCTCCAACTCAGAACAGTTCTCAGGGAGGCCCCTCACCCCATTCTTCCGAGACCTGTTTGGAGAGAAAGGTGAGTGCCCTTCCTATGGGGAGGGAAGGGCAGATCTTCGAGGCTATACATCACTGCATCCAAGAGGGCAAGGATTGTTGAGAACTGTGAACAGATAGGGCTGTTACCAGGAAGACGTACTCAAACCCTCCATGTGAGGGGAGATGTGAAGAAGACCTGCATCCAAGCCCAGCCTAGCCCTTCCCTGGCCTCATGGCCTTGAGCGAGTCAGTTTCATGCTCTGACCCTCAATGTGCTCGTCTTTAGTTAGGAAACTGCTCTCACTTCCCCGGGTGTTGGAGAATGAGCCGTCTAGAAAACCTGTGAAAACCCACGACTGTGCCATCTCAGAAAGTGCCAGGCCCTCCTGCCCTCCCCTTAGGCCTCTCTGTCTCTTTCCTCCTTCACTTCTGTGGGCACTTGGGGCAGAATCAGACTGGAGAGCTGGGGACACACATACCTGAGCCCACCCTGAGAACCCTAGGCTCACTGACCACCACCCCACAATGCCCCTCTTCTCTTGGTCGGAGCAGCAGCCCCGCGCAGGTTATTTGAAAGTCTGCTTTCTAGGCCGGGTGGAGTTGCCTGAGGTGGCGGTTGGCGGGGCGGGGGAGGGTGGCCACCCTCTCTCCCTCCTTGGGCCCAGGTGTTATCTGCAGCAATGGGCACACGTGGCGGCAGCAGAGACGCTTCTGTCTGATGACTCTTCGGGAGCTGGGCCTTGGCAAGCAGGCGCTGGAACTGCAGCTGCAGCGTGAGGCAGCAGAGCTGGTCAAGGTGTTCCGCCAGGAGCAGGGTGAGAGGAAGTGGGCCAGGGCAAGCCTGCCCTACCCCTGCGCCCCTCCGCGCTCATGCATATCCCTGTAGAGGTGCGTGTGTGCGTGTGTGCGTGTGTGCGTGTGTGCGTGTGTGCGTGTGTGCGTGTGTGCGTGTGTGCGTGTGTGCGTGTGTGTGTGTGTGTGTGTGTGTGTGTGTGTGTGTGTGTGTGTGTGTGTGT